TCTATCTGTCTGTCTGTCTGTCTGTCTGTCTGTCTGTCTATAATTGTCATAGCTTTCCAACATGCATAACTATTAATGTCTCAAACATGTTTGTGTTTTATTTTGTTTTTTTTATTTTAGCCTTTTTCTGTGTTTTCCCCAGTTTTGATTGAAAAATAAAGAGTAGACAGGAATCGCGGGGAAGAAGTGGAAGAAACAAAAGCAAGAAATGTTGTAAATCAGACACAAAACCAAGTCACAGCTCCAGCCAACAACTTTTTCTCAGAAGCATACAAAAAGATTCATATTTGTCAGCTTTTCACATGCATGTGTGGGAGAGACCATTATTTAGTTATTAACTATATTTGATCAGAGGTTCTTCAGAGGACCAGTGACAGCTGCCCTGAGGCAACCTGTCGAGCTCAACAGAACAGTACAAAGGTGCTTGTGATCTTTCTAACACTCGTTCCTGGTTTTATATTTTATCCACACTGTTGGGATTGAACCTAAAACCTTAGCAGCCCAGATTGTTAACCACTTGGCTGCCCTCACCCCCAAGAGATACTTCTTGGGTGAGTAAATATAACCAGATACATTATCCAAACCGAGGTGGCTACATATTCCTCATAGACAGAATCAAAAACAAGCCACTTAACATTCCAGAACTCTTGCTGAAAATTCCCATTGTTTTGCAAATTCATCTCTGGAATTCCTATTACTTGTATGTAGTCTTATTGTAACTTCTGCTCTGATTCTCAACACTCCCAGAAAAATGTAAATATCACTCCTTGCAAATCTGTCTTTAGGGAGGCTGGATCAGTAGGGATGCACATTGAAGACTCTAAATTTACTGGAGATCAGAGTCCACTGTCTCTCTGAGCACAGAACACTATGTTTCATATGAATCTCTGTGAAATTAAGCCGCACAAAGCACATCTTTGTCTGTTTTATTTCCCCAACAGGATTTATGTTAGTATCGCTGTCTGGATTCAGCCTGTCACAAAAAATATAGTTTGGCTTTTTATAGTAGACAAATTGGCTTTGTGTGAAAAGGTATGGTTTGCTCAAGTGCTGCTCTTCCTGGGAGGTTTAGTAATGCTAGCTTTTAGCTTTTACATATGTGTCACATTGCTCGCAAGTTCAAAGGCGGAGTGCAATGCAACAATGTCCCGAAGTTACACTCAGAGTCAAACTAATGATTTTTCCATTAGCTGTAATGTTTTCATTGTGATGAAATACTGTATTATTTTAATTTATCATGCTTCTACAGAAGACATGCATGATATTAAGGATGAAGTGTGTAATTTCTGAATGATTTGGGGCACCAAATGGAAATAATGAATGAATGTTTTTAAAAAGCTTTCTCAAACACCTTTTTTGACATAGGTTGGCAAAATACACTGGAAAAAATATATTCTTACTCAGTATTTTTGTCTTGTTTTCCAGTACAAATATTCTTACATTCATATATATATATGTATTTGAAAAGCAAAGTGACTTAAGATATTACAGGAAAAATTCACATAAAAATAATTTATAAAATTTTTACATTGCGCTTCTCTAGGCACTCAAAGCGCTTTACATTGTCAGGGGGTATCTCCTCATCCACCACCAGTGTGCAGCATCCACCTGGATGATGCGACGGCAGCCATAGTGCGCCAGAACGCCCACCACACACCAGCTTATTGGTGTAGAGGAGAGGTATGAAGCCAATCAGTAGATATGGGGATTGTTAGTAGGCCATGATGATCAGAGGCCAATGGGCAAATTTGGCCAGGATGCCTCTACACCTCTACTCTTTTCAAAAGACATCCTGGGATTTTTAATGACCACAGAGAGTCAGGACCTCAGTTTAATGTCTCATCCAACGGACAGTGCTTGTTGACAGTATAGTGTCCCCGTCACTATTCTGGGACGTTAGGACCCACACAGACTACAGGGTGAGCACCCCCTGCTGGCCTCACTAACACCTCTTCCAGCAGCAACCTAGTTTTCTCAGGAGGTCTCCCATCCAGGTACTGACCAGGCTCAGCCCTGCTTAGCTTCAGTGGGTAACCAGTCTTGGGCTACAGAGTGATATGGCTGCCGGCATCCAGTTTTCCAGTACAAATCCAGTACAAACTCATGTAGATGAGTTTGTTTCTTCATCAGAAATTTAGCATTCCATCACTTGCTTACCAGTGGATGCTCTGCAGTGAATGGGTGCCGTCAGAATGAGAGTCTAAACAGCTGATAAAAACATCACAATAATCCACACCACTCCAGTCCATCCATTAACATCGTATGAAGTGAAAACCTGTTTTGTGAAAATCCATCAAAATCAAGTGAGTTTATACATAAACAACAAGAGAAAAAAAATCTGTCAGTTGAGTACATAAAGTTAATTCAGCGGGAAAACAAGGTTATTTTTCTTGCCCCCTTGACATTTTTTTGCTTGTTTTAATAATAAATTCTGGAAACTTTTCAGGATATTTAAGTAATTCATGAAACTTCTCAGGATACTTAAGTAAATGCATCTTGAATATTTAAATAAAATACTAATTAAGAATAAGTATGACTAAGAAGTTTTTTTTTTGCTGCACAGATAGTCTCGCCCACTAAAAATGCCCTTGTAAGTGGAGAATTTAGAGTGAAATAACCTCAGATAACTCACTGCAGACACTGAACTAAGAGAAATCACATAATCACAGATTTGTAAAGGTGCTGACAGTTAAGCTCAGATTTTTTGTGTGTGTGTGTGGGGGGGGGGGGGTTGCTGAGATGAAAGATTGCTCCTCTAAATACAGTCTAGCAGCACCTATGACTTACTTATAGCTATCTTTACATATTAAGATAATAAAAATGACACTACACCTTTAATACTGATTTATACAGTAGTTTATATTCTAGACATTCTAAAGTACTTTAACAATTTGATTATGAAACTTTACTGAGTGTTTGCAGCTTCTCTTTGTTCTTCTGGCACAGGCTGGTTAGTCAAGATATAGAGGTAACGTGTTCTGTCGGTGCCAACTGGATCGCTTCCAACTCCAGCAGGAGTTTTTCTCTTTCTCCTGTTTGATATTTACTTTACGGCCTTCTCCAAAAAACTGCTGCAGTCTGAGGGAACCACTGAGCCGTTTTAATGTGGAAAAAGGGGCTAGTTGTGTATTGGGCTGTCTTATCCCTCTCTAATTTGCAGAGAATAGACTTGAGGCTATGGACTCTTAAATGCTCTTGTTATAGCTTTACAGAAAGGTGCTGGACAGTGTCATCATCATGCATTGTGCTCAGAGGAGGCACATGCGGTCTTGTGTTATATGAGTTTCGTCTTGTCTGGGAAGGTTGAGTGTTCATGTGTGCCAACAAAATGTTATTCTATGCCAAGCATAGCACTTCATTGTCAAAGCCAAATCCCCACCCTGATGGGACAGATTAATAGATATTTTAAGGACATGGAATATGTAATATTTGAAACTTTTTTATGGAAATTAAATTAGATTCAGTTTGATTCCATATGGCAGAGTCACGGTAGATTGTGGCTTGAAAGACTTAAATGCCATGGGGCATAATGAAAGCTCTTATAATGAGGGGAAATGGAACACCTGTCTCATAGTCAAACCTATGCCATACAGTACATACACATCATAGACTGGTTAACATTTTCATGCTAGGAGATACAATCGATTTCAAGACCCACTAAAACATTTTTAGAGTAAATTATGTGGGGCGGAATTATATTATTATATAACAATATTATATATATATTTTTTTTGAATGATTCAAAAGAACTGGCTCATAAGAATCATTTGTTCGAGAATCGGACTACATGCTGGTTGTTTTTACATGCAGCCCCTGAGTAGTAGAAGTGCAAGTCATATTGCTGTGATATGTGACACATTTGTGGTGTGTCATGTTAGAAACATGTAAATACATGTTATGCCCAACAACGAAAGTGTACATTCTTTAATTTTAGAATTTTTTTAAATTAAAGGCAGTTTGTTGTTTGCAGGGCACAGGCCGAAGCTGGATGACTCACCGAAGGCCGGACTATTCTCTGACCGTCTCAGTGAACTGGAGCGTATCCGGCAGACCACCATGCGGGTTACCATGCCAACACAAACGCCACGGCCCTCACTTAGCAGCCCCAACTCCTTCACACCTCAGGGGCAGACGCAGATAACAGGTATGAGATTGAACAGCACTGCAGATTCTATTCTATTTTATTCTGAGAGGTGCATCCTGATGATTTCAAATATAGATAGATAGATAGATAGATAGATAGATAGATAGATAGATAGATAGATAGATAGATAGATAGATAGATAGATAGATAGATAGATAGATAGATATTTAATATTTTTGTTATTTATATATATATACTGTATATATAAAATGCACAAAAATGATAAAATGTATATTAAATATTTTTTATAGTATAGGCTTCAGCATTCCCATGAGGACAAGCGGTTTGGAGAATGGATGGATGGATGGATGTAATATTTAATTATTTACATTTATGCATTTGGCACACATTTTTATCCAAAGCAGTTTCAACGTATATATACATTTATATCAGTTGTTGCATTCTCGTAGAGGGTATATTTATTTAATAATTTACTATTATTTAATATTGATTAATTTCGGGTAAAAAGGTAAAAATATATATTTCTAGATAGATATACACACACACACATATTATTTTGACTATACTATTTTTAAAATGTTTAAAAAGTTCCTTGTAATTCATCAAATACGCAGGCAATGTTAATTTACAAATTTTTTATTGATGTCATCTGCACGTAAAACCACATCAATGAAGTAAATGATACTTAAAGTCGCCGCTAACCTGTCAGTCAGAATTGTTGTTTCTTTTAGTCAAGTCTTCACTTACAGTGATTATATTTACTCATCCTCCCAAGCATTTCAGCATATCTGGTGTCTGTCACCGTTACAGTAATGTCTATTCGTCTAAGCACAAAGTGATTTATCTAAGCTGAAATCGCACACTGCAACATGATGGACAAGTGGAAACCGAGTGCGGACAGCTTAAGGCAGTGCGTTGTGTCACTGTGAGAGAACAGGATATCACCTGTCCTTAATTACTGCTCTGAGAGCGCATGTCCTGTACTCTGGGTCATGTTACTGTACTGTGTGCAAGCCAAGTGACTGAATCTGAGAATGAATGCACCGCATTTTGTTGACTTTAGCGATTATTTGCCTGCTTTAAAATTGATACTTGGCATGACAGAAAGCTTCAATTATAAGGCATGAAATATGTTATCTTAGACAAACATTTGAGAATGCCTTCATTTAAATGCTTTGCCTAAGGGATCACATTGTATTTGCTAACCACACAAAGGCTCTATATGAGACAGACAAATATAAATAGAACAGTTATATTAAATTAATGATAATATATACTGATTAATTAACAATATACATATTAATGTGTATATACTGTATATATATATATATATATATTTATATTTATATATACACTAAAACCTATAAATAAATAAATAAACATGTTGATTCTATTGCATTTTTGTCCAAACAATGGAATTTAATGGGAACCTAAACTGTTTAGTAGCCAACATTCTTGAAATTTCTAATTTTGTGTTCCACAGAAGAAAGAAAATCATACAGGTTTGAACCAACATGTAAGTAAATGATGACAGAGGTTTCATTTTTGGGTGGACTATCCCTGTAACTACTTTTCTTTGACCTTCTCTCTATTTGTACCTTTAGATCCACGCCAGGCTCAATCTTCCCCACCTTGGTCATATGACCAGACGTACCCATCGTACCTGAGTCCCATGGCCTCCCCGTCCGTGCACTCCACCACCCCGCTCTCATCCAGCCGGGCCACAGGGCTGCCGTCCATCAGCGATGTGCCCAGACGCCTCCCAGGTAACCTCCAGCCTCAGCCCTACAGCAGGTGCGCCCCCTACCCCTCGCGTCCGACACTGCAGTGGGCAGCGGGGTGGGCATGTGTTTTATGATGATTTGCACATTTAGAAGGATGGGGATTTGTGTGAATAATGCAACTTTGTTTATACAGCTTTTGAAAGATATTTTAAATTTGCTACTTAAAAATTTAAATATTTTAAGAGATATACATTTTTTTTTTAATTAAATCTTAAATAAAAAAATGTTTAAATGTCTCCTAAAAACTAAATTTACCACATTTCATCAGACAAATGGCACTGAATTTGGCAAACAAGCTGAATTTGAATCTAATTTGCATAAAAATAAGCATGTTTGTGCTGAAAAGAATCACAATAACTTAATGGTTAAGTTAATGGTGCAGCGCTATTTTAACTGCACCACGTGTATGTGCCACCAAGCAAAACTGCAAAAATAATAACTGTTTTCAGACAGGTTTCCGGAAAAATGGCATTCATTTTAAAGCGTTGAAAAAAATATACTTTTTTTTTTAATGGCTGCTTTGCCATAACAGTAGAAGACTTGAAAGAGAAAACTAACTATAAATGATAACAGATTATGCTAAATTCTTCTATAGCAGCTCTTGACACATGGCATAATGCAAAAAACTTGTTGCATTCAGTGTTATTTTTGTATTTATATGCTATTATGGTTTTAATATTTAATTGTTTTTTAATGAGCTTTAATTTTTATATTTTTATTGTTTCATTTTTAGTAATTTTATGTGCTTTTGTCATTTTTATTAGTTTTTGTATTTTAAAAAATATACATAATTTTAATTTATTTCAATTTAGCATTTGGTTTAACTGTATTGCGGATGGTTAGTGGAAAAACATGCAGGTTTTTGCACTGAAATTTTGTGAATTTACTCCTGTGTTGGATGACAGTTTAATTAGATTTATGAAAATCACAGATGAAGAAAAAGTAACGAGTGGGGTTTCATTTTGGGAGGGCTATTTTCTGAAATTATAATTTTTCTGTAATGGTCTGTCAGTCATATTAACCAAATCATAGAATTACATTTCAGTGTCATAATTCGTTAGAAACACAATCATAAATTTGCTTGATTTTTATTAGCTAATGGTGCTGTAGATATGTAAACGGAGACGGTTTTTCAAAATTGGACTGCTCCATGAGCGTATTTTTAAAACTCGTGGGGAAGGGAAAAAAAGGTTTCCTTTGCTCCTCTTTCCATGGCTTTGATCCTGCATAGTATATCGTTAATAACAGACCAAGACATAATAACAGGCCAGTGGTGGGCAAATAAAGCCGCTTTATAGCATTAGGCTTCCCAGAGAACCTTTGGGGAATGGAAGGCCACTCAGTGCCCAACTTGCACCCCATAAGCTAATTTGTCCTCGTGTGCCCGGCAACACACCCAGAAACGTCCCCTTTAAAGAATAAATGTAGACAGACAAGTTTCCATTTCCAAACACCTGTTTGAGTCAGTGCCAGGTAAGCGTTTTCATGCCATACTACACCCTCATCCATTCCTGAGAACCTGGAGAGGCTTAAAGTGATTAAACAAGAATCTCCCTCACCTGAGCGCTGGCTGCCAGCTTCTAGATGCCTGCTACCCGCCTGTCATTTTTAATTAATTTAGGTATATCATCCTTTCATTTGATGCTGGCACATGCGATTTTGTGAATAATAGGTTTGATGTGAGATAAGGACATGGTTCTTTGATGTGTCCTGCAACTTAACTGTAAGAGGAACAGTGCAAATATGCATTGTTGTTGTCTATTGCAGATATAAAAACTTTTCAGGAGAATTAGTCTTTGCACATTGTGCACAGTGTTTTGTGTTGCAGTGGTGGTAATATACTTCTGAACTCAATGGGGCAATAGTTACCTCAACTTGGGTTGTTAGATCTTTAGCTACAATTTTAAAAGTAAAGAGTGTAATTTTATTTATTGTTTATATATTTATTTATTTTTGTGCCACCTAGCAGAATTGCAAAAAGATTTCTGAAAAACTGCTATTGATCTTAAAGGGGTCATATGATGCTATTTCAAGTTGTCCTTTCTCTTTGGAGTGTTACAAGCTGTTCGTGAATAGATAAGATCCCTAAAGTTGCAAAGACTAAAGTCTAAACCCAAAGAGATATTCTTTATAAAAGTTAAGACTCATCCACGCCCTCCTAAAACACCTCGTTTAAACACGCCCCCACATGTCTACATCACTGTGTGGGAAGATTTACATAACACCTCCCAAATGTTTACACAAAGAAAGAAGGCGTAATTTTTATTCTCACTGTAGTATTGTTGCCACTGCCACCAATAATGATTCGCTTCGTTGTGAAAGAGAAACTACTTTGTTTGGCCTTCCAAACGAGGACACAACTAGAAATCAGTGGTTAAGTTGTATTTACAACACTGTTCCAGAACAGTTCAACCCAAATATTTGAATGTGTGCAACGTATTTTATGGAGGACTTTTTCCTGAACCTGTAAGAGTAGACTACAATGCCGTCTGTTCTGACTCACAGCCTATAAGTATGTTTTCATATTTAAAGAATTTACCACTGACGATTCAAACGCGAGTTTTGAGCAGTGTTGGTTGTCGTTTGTCCGATCACAAATGCAGACATGGTTTTATGTTTACGCGGCGCGATATGCAACACGTGAAAAGGCAGTATAAGTCATAATCCATAATTATGTCCCCACTGGATGCAACAAATGCCTCGTTTGTAATGGGTTTTATTGTTCTTGTCTCGTCGCGCCGGGACACACAGCATCACAATATGGTAAGGCATTCGGCCAATCACAACGCATTGGATAGCTGGCCAATCAGCGTACACCTCGCTTTTCAGACCGATGAGCTTTGTAAAAATCGACGTGTTTCAGAAAGGCGGGGCATAGAGGAGAAACAATAATGTACAGTATGTGGATA